TTACTATTTAGACGATATACATATAATTAAACAAATGGAAACAATTTAAACAGTTTTTTCTTGCTACCCTGCACGAACAATTTAATATCAAAGATGTGTGTGGATATCATCAGCAAAACACCTTTCTTCATACCATACACGATTATACTGTCCTGCTTTGGTAAGAGTTTTGCATTAGAATAATTAGGGTAATTATTCTAGGACAATTAGCCAGAGTAAATAGCCAGAACAGATGCACCGCCCCCTCCCCAGGTTCTCTTTTCTAATGTATATGTCCTTAACCTTTGCCTTACCAACAATTTTCATTTTAGGGGAGAGCTCCTATCCTAAGCTCAAAAGGATGCTTAGTATCTGTCGAATGCAAATTAGGTGCTTTTCATTACAAATTGTAACCTAAGCATTTGCTAAGTCATGTGTGCTTCTGGAGAGTCTACTGTTCTTATCACCATTCACCTAGCTAGGAAATAGAAAACGTTTTCCCAATAGACTCTACCATACGAGATGATGTCTACATGTTCTATTTAAAATGCTCCTAACTGTGACAGTGGGAATATAGTATTCCTTATGCCTTAAAAATTGAGTTGCAGTTAGGGGTCTTGATCTTAACACAGAAGCACCATAAACTGGGATTGGAAGACTCTTCTGCATTTACTGGATTCCCACCTGATTTCCCATGCCTACATGGGATCCACTGACTCCAATGAAGACTTGGGTCCATTGCTAGACATTCTATTCTGTTTTTAATATTTTGCGCTGCTGGTCTGAACACTCAGGGGCCACACTGGATGGATTCCTAACACCTGGTGCAGCCTGTTCTTCCTTGCTGCTCCTCTGTTCTTCAGCTTTCCCACCCACAAATGAACTTTTAGATTCAGCCTCTCTAGTCCTCTCCTTCCTCCTCCCAAAATAAAACAGAATGAATCCACTTGCCTGTTTATTGATGTCATGCTAATTTTATCAGTTAACTAGGGAAGAATTGACAGCTTTGGCACATTGAGTCCTCCAATCTAAGAATGGTATATCATTTCACTTATTGAGCTTTATTTGTGTTCTTTTATACTGTTTCAAAGATTTTGAAATATGGATCTTATATTTTCCTTATTATATTTATCCCTAGTAATTTTGCCTGCTTTTGTAGTTTTAAACAGATTTTTTTCTATTGTATCTTCTATCTTGATTTTATAAATGCAAAAGTTACTGATTTCTGTATATTAATTTTATACCTTAATACATCAGTGACTTCTATTATTTCTAATAATTTAAAATTTTTATTTTCCTTGCAATACCAAGAATACAAGATATAATGTACAATGAATAGTAACATAACACCAGTCTTTCCTGGTTTTGAACTTCTTATGTAGCATACAGCTTTTCTAACTGTGCTGGCTAGTTCTTCCCATATGTGTAAAATAGTAGTAATAATAGTGACTGACTTATCTTCTGTCTCATTCTAGTGAGCATGGCCCATTAAAAATTATATTGGATTTGAGGAGAAGGCAAATAAACTAAGTTATGGGAATATTCACTTATTCCTATACTATATTTTGTTTTTTTAAAAATAAGAATGGCTGTTAAATTGTACCTGGTCAATACATGGTTTTAATTACCTGATTTTCCTCCTCAGATTTCATATGACTAAGTGTGCCTATTACCTCATCTTGAACATCCTTGGATTACTAATAAAATAAACCCAGGTTGGTTTAGGAGTATTTGTCTCTTAATGAGCTGCTAGATTGTTTCCCAGTGCTTTACTTATGATTTACAAAGCCAATATTCTGAGTGAAATTGGCCAGGTAATTTTCTGCTTTACACAGTCTCTGGCAGGTGTTAGCCTCAGTGTTAAATGAATTCATTTAAAAAGAACTGCAGCTTTTCCTTTTTTAATGGTTTTCTTCCTTGCTTTGAAACAGTTGTGTTGGATTTAGCTACTCTTAAAAATCTTTGGTGGGACAATCCCTAGCCCTGCTATGAGATTGTTCTGGTAAAATATTCCCTCTCTTCTAGGGTCAGATTTCAGATACTGCATCAATCATACAATCAGTTTCAAAATTATCTATATTATTTTCATCTAACAAAAGATGATACAATTTTTGTTCATAATCACAAAATTTTCTGCTTCAAAAGTGTTTCAGTTGCTGGTCTGGGGATGTAGCTCTGTGGTGGAGTACTTGCCTTGAGGCCCTGGATTCAATCCCTAGCTCTCCCCTCACCCCCACTCTCCCACACACAAATTGTTAAGTGATTTCCTACTAGCTATGTAATATATCAAACTCTGACTTATGCACCTCTGTGTTCCACCCCCAGCCTCCTTCCTCTACTACTCCTGTTATCACTTCTGGTCTAGTTCACTTGGTGGGTCCTTAGGATCTAGAACAATGCTTGGTGTACTGGAAGTGCTAAATAAATGTTGAGTGAGTGAGTAAAAGAATGAATGAATGAATAACCTAGTCAAAAAGACCTCAGAGAGCAATCTTATTCCACTCTCCACTTAGCCTTGCGGGGCCTGTAGAAACACTGCAAGTGGCAGAGCAGAAACCTCAAATTCTAACACCTGGAATGTTACCATCTCTGGACTCACTCTTCCTCACCACTCACGTCACTACTCAGCTATCTCTTCAGTTGCCTGTTCAATAGCCCAGGTCAGAATTTCTCTTTCACATGTTACTAAATGCCAAACACTTACCGCATCAGGCTACATATGGAACTTTTTTTATTCCACTTAGTTCTCCCTAATCTTCCAAGCTGTAAACCTCTCTAGACAAGGAGATGTATCTATTAATCTTTGCCTTTTGTGGGATCGGACATAGAGCCTTTATTGTATTGCCTGCTTCCTCTTTCTACAAGGTTCTTCTTAAAGGTTTGGGCATGGCTCACTCCTTTTATCCCAGTCACCTCTTTGCAAAGTAATGCCTTTTCTCTTAATTAGAATTATAGCTTCCTTTACCTCCGATTTGTTTTACTACAGAGCACATGTCACTTTCAAATACTGAAAAATCACTTCCATGCACTCAGTGTCTCCCCATGAACTCAGAATTCCATTGAGGGCAGGAATTTCTTGTGTTTGGTTCACCATTACACCTCCAACACCTAAAATAGTCCCTATCATACAGAGATGCTCAATAAATTCTTGTCTCACAATTCTAAGTCTGTGCTGAAAGAAAGTCTTCCAGAACACATGGAGGAGGGATGAGGAATGTATTGCAGCCTAAATAACTTACCAGTAAGTTATTGGTAAATAACTTGAGAGAAAGGGAGCATGAGTGTGTCATGTGACCTGGTCACTCACATTTATAAAGACTTCTGATTCAGGACAAAAATTAACTTAGTAATAATTACTCAATAAGCAACTGTTGAAAGGATGAACCAGCTAAGCAGTCAATGGTGCACTAAATATGGTGTGGGGCCTTACACGAATGAAGCCCTTTGACCTGATGACATTCATACCTGTGTACGAGAGACCTATGCCAGAGGCAGGAAAGCTCAGTGCTTCAGCATTTACTTTCACTCCAACTTCAGGATCTTTGTCAATGAAAACAGTGCTAAGCCTTATCAACTTGATACAGAGAAGAAGAAAAAAGCATACTCTTTGGCAGAAAGCATTGGAATTAATCTGACAATGGTGAATAAACAAAAAGATGGAGATTGTGTTGAAGGAGCATCAAATTGGATGTGCAGTACTGGAGTGGCAAGTGGGTCTTTTGATGCTCCAAGAATGAAGAAATTGTATCAGTTAACAGAACACTAAACTATTTAGCCCAATAGAGAAGAGTATAGAAAGGAAGGATGGCAGGAAGGGAGGGAAGAGGATTAAAGTTTAATATGACAGTGTAATTTATTAGTCGATGTTTAATAAATAGAAAATGCTATCTAATTAATACTACATATTATATAATTCAAGAAAGGTGACACTTATTTTATTCTGAAGCAAATTTCTTAACAAACTGCCTTGAGATGACATTTAGTCCTAATGATTTAAAGTTTTTTGACTATACTTCAACTTGATTCTATATAACACGAAAAAGTTCACCTTCAACATCACTAACAAAAATGTTCCAACAATTTAAAAATGTTTTCAAGCAAGAATAAGTACTAACCTGAATTAGTACTTGTCATAATTTTATGATTTTGCTAAATCAAAAATGAGCAAAAGTTTATGACAGCAAAGGAAGTTAGGATTTGAAAGTGGCTGTTTGCATCTCCAAGAGCCCAAATACAAGAAAGGAAGTGCACACGGTATGCAGACACTGTGCTCAAGCCTGTAACCCGGAAGGCATCTGCAGAGAGCCTCCACCACTGCTCTACTCCATTTGACAAAAAGAAGGAATGTGTGGGCCCAAGGAGAGCTTTCTATGGTCCCACTCTGGTTCCTGGACTAGCAAAGCCAATGCTACCAAGTCACATCAAGGAGCGTGTTATGGAAACGTGTGCTTACTGGGATGTGCCATGGCTTTCATATCGTACAAAGGATGACATTCGTATGTACACCTTCACATCTGTCCCCACCTACCACTCATTGTCAGCATGACCCACATTTGAAGGAGGCAGGGTCTGTGGCAATGGCACACAGAGTAGACAGGAGTCCACCAAGGCTTCATTTCCCTCAGTTCAGCGAAATGGTGAGTAAGTACCTAAGTGAGAATTTACAAACTATGCTTCCATATAATGCTACCTTACACCAGGGAAGCACACACACTTGGATACTCACAAGTATTTGTGCAATCGGCTGTACCCCGATACCGCTTCTGGCTCACTGGACCCAGCATAAACCTTTCTCCTCCCCTGAATAAAGAGTAAGACTGAGGTCTATCTGGAGGAACCAAACTCTCACTATACAATTCACCTTCTGTTTTGCAACTGTCTTCACATATTTAGTGAAAGGGCTAGCCTCTTGTGTGGAAAACTTCCTGTTAAGAAGTAGAAAAAACAGTCTGTGATAAGAAAATGGGAGTGGAAAAGGAGGGAGTCCAACCAGGACCCCACGCAGAACTTAGGAGCGGTACCTTTCGGTTTCTTTCTGCATCCTCGTCTTGGTCCTCGCTGCCCAGTGGGCTGGAGTTGGCTGCAAAGGTGGGTCCCTGAGTGTAGTACTGAGAACTTCGACAGCCATCCTGCCTCAGCTTGTCACATTCTGCAGGGCATGGACAGAGGGGACAAAGGGGCATTAGAAAGTAGATTTTGTTGATGACTCTTTACCTAACTTTTTCAGTTATATTTTCCTGGGTATAATAGGATTCCAAAATAACAATAATGAAAACAATAATTAAAAACAGGTAAGGATGACAGAAGCACCTACAGACCATGCCCCTAGATGGATGTTAAGGGGGTTATCTTTAGAGCTCACCATGACTCTCTGAGACACATACAACCATTACCTCTACTCACAAGAAATCAAAGGTTAGTGAATTAAATTATTTGCTCTGTAATGTTATACAAGTGAGCAGTGGACTCAGAATTATAACTCAGGGTCTTAATTACTGCCCTATAATTTTTGACACAAAACAACTGATGGTTATTCCACATCAAACAAACAAACAAACAAACAAAAAACGTAAGTGATTCCCATGTTCTGCTTTTCTCCCAGACTCATCAGCTAGAAGTGACATTAGACATGGATTACAATGCTCCCGTTTTATTTAGCAATGAATTGTGTGTGTGTGTGTGTGTGTGTGTGTGTGTGTGTGTGTGTCTGTTGCGGTGCTGGAGTTTGAACCCAGGGCCTTGAATATACTAACCAGAGGCTATACCTCTGAGCTACATCCCAGACCTTCAATTTCATCTTGATAGCAAACAACTTGTTAATATGTGCAATTTCCTATGAAACCAGGTGCCAGCATGAGACAGAGACCAGAGGACTGCCTGGCACCCTGGGTGGAAGGTAACAGGGACGTGTGGCAGGCAGTGCCTGGCAGGGGCTGGGGCTATGGGCCATGTGGTCCAAGGGAAACCAGTGCACCAGCCAGTGGGTGAGAATGATTCTAATGGCCTTTTAAAGCAGCAAGAAGATTTCCTTTAATCTGGGCACATTAAAGAAGCATTTTCCTAGCAAAAGGATTTGCCACAGGGTTCCTTAAATATCCAGCTTTTAAAAGTAACACAAAATGTGTTCGGTTTGGGGAAAGATTTTTCTTTATGCGGTTTTACAGAACCACACACCTAAAGGCACAGACCTAAATTAAGGCCTCTTCAGAGCTCCTGTCTAACACAGGACCTGTGGCTCTGTCCCAGAAGAGATAAGCACTCGCTTCAGTGGAGATCAAAATAATAGACTAAATTTTTTAACATCCAGAGAATAGAAAGTTCTCTTTCTTCTTTGCTACCCCACAGTGGGAGTGGACAGAGAAAGTTTCTAATTCAGAACTACAAATCAGATAAAAAGATTCCCAGGGAAATCGTCACAAGAATGCAGGAAAATGTCAAGCTAATTGAACAATGTCCATGCAATCACGACAGAGCTAAGCACCAGAGCACTTACTTATGGGCTAAACACCTGATGGTCCGGGCTGGTGACTACTAGTAAATATTGGTTACAATGGAATTAAAACACACTTCTAGAACACAACATATTTTTAATGACCTAATCTAACCCTTTATGACAAGAACTCTTACTACCTTTTCTCCAATGCTTATCAAGTTCTCCCTCTCAAGACAATGTTATTAAAAACAGGATTAGCGGTTTCCAAATGGTATTCTTTGTAGAGTTCTGGGATTCTGTACATATGTACTTTGATTTTCTTTAACTACCTACCTTATAGCTAGGATAAAAATAAAACAACTCAGTTATTACAGACCACATTTTAACACAATGGTGAGCAAATCATTAATTTGTGCTGCTAAATTAACTGTCCTGTGGGACTAAAAGTGAGCTATTCTTGTCATGTCTGCAAAACTGAAATCTCCTATGCATTACGCATAAAACTTGCACAATGAACCAATATAAACTCTCACCACTGGCACCCACTTATCTACTGGGCTTTCAAATACTTGACAAATAAGGCAAAAAAATAGGCAGAAGCCAAAGCCTTTTAAACTAAGTCGTTTTGTTGTTCAAAATCATCTTTTTTTCCCTCACTAATTAACCATATAAGAAGTTTGAAATTAAAAAACTTAGTATCTTTCACATATCATTTTTAAAATTTTGTTGTATGTCTTGGACATCAGATATGATTGTGTTCAAAACAGATTTCTTCTCCCAGGGCATAGAAATGGCTGGGCTACACCTTTGCTAAGGGTGATATTAGTTCTGATATTTTTGGCAGAAATAGACAAAATGAATTGACATGTGTTAAATCTTATAAGACCAAAATACTTCAAAATTATTATATACGTTAAAAGCATGAAAGGCTGGCAATGATTAGTGCTGTTCTTCTAGTGTGTGTCATCTTTTCATTCTTAGTTTATAAGACAATGAGTCTTTTTTCTACCATAAAGTTTATGTACATTAATGGTTAAGTTGCATTATAACAAGCAGGAGTGTAACAAATAAATATGACACTGGGTATAAGATTAAACTAGGTAGCATACATTTATAGCAAATGACAATTTTTTTCCTCTTACCAACTTTCTGAAACCTAGTAAACTCATCAAATTCCACTGTCATTATTCCAACTCTAGGGGAACTCTAGGAAAATTTCCTCTTGTCAAGTTGCAACAGATCTTCGCTTATAAAACCATGGCTTTGTTCATTAAAAACAGAGTTTATTGTCTGCAGAGTGAGACATGAGTCGGCACAAGCCATTATGAATAAACAAAGACTCCTGAAACACTAACAGAGCGTAACTACAAGGCAGAGCCTAATTTAAAGCCAGGTTATGCCAGAAACAAGACTAGAAATAAGATCCTAAATGTAATAGAAGAGCTATGTTTAACACATACTCTTGTTGCAATAGCAGTGTAGAGTAAAACTGTTATTGTTCTACAGTAGGCCTGCAATAAAGATATCACTGTTGGTTGAGGCCTCTGGTTTCCCAACTACAAATTTTCCTCACCTTCCCTTCATGGGACACACACACACATACACACACTCACACACACAGGTTCTTTAGCACAAGGAAAATGGGCAAACATTTCTTAGTAGACCACAGTTTTAAATATAGAAGAAAAACATGAGGTCACAGAACTAAATGGTCATTAACCATCTCATGAATTTCAATTTAAAAATGCTAAGAAAATCTATAGCAAGAAGCTTAAAGAGTGATTTTCAGAATAATTTTCTCTATAGGAAATCCCTGTTGAATTTCCTCTTTCTATGACAGTGTTCCTAAATTTACTTCATCAGTCACAAAACACTAGAATATATAGCCATTACAAATAGTTCCAAACCCTCAGCTGAAAGAAGTTCCTTTCTTGCACAGTCCCCTAATCTACCTAGTGCTGGCATGGCTTTGCTACCCATGGTGACCTGAAGACTGGGCAGATATAAGCTCCACCTTGACCTGTATTTGTGTGACCCCACAGCAGTGCAATGAGAACATGGTGCTTCTTACTCTGGGTCTTAGAACTTCTTCCCAGAAGTTACAAGGGTTACATTCATTCCAATTTCACTGGATGAAACAAGTTGAATGGTTATACCTAACTATGGGGACAGGAAGTGCAATCCTAACTCTTGCACAAGGAGGAAGAATATTCCAGAACTCTAATGACTCCACCAAAGGGATGACCCTGAACCTATTCCCCAGACTCTTGTTACTCCTTCTCTTAGCATTTATTATTTCCAATTCTTGACTTTGCAACTATAATAAGAAGCTATGCTTTTATATTTTTGTAGCAGGAGGTTAATTACTGGTAAGGAAACTATGTTGAAGAGCTGTCTAGTAGTGTGGGGACCAGAGTAGGAGAAGCCTATGAGGACATAAGCACAGTTGTACTCAATATTCTGCAGGCTGATTTTGGCACAGCCCCAGCCACAGAATAGGGCAAGAGTAAGATGTAGAGTAGCTGCTTTTCCTAAGATGTTTATGTCAAATAATCTGTAGACTGAGATTTGGCACAGCCCCAGCTGCAGAAGAGAGTGAGAAGGCAAGATGGAGCTCAGCTGCTTTTCCTAAGTTATTTATGTTCAGTGAAAGAAGTAGAAATGCAGGTTTCTCCTGTTGCAATGTCACGCCCCTCCCCAAGAACTGTGCTTCACCTCCTTGCTTACCACTGGGTATAAAAGACACTGAGGCTTTTTGATTTGGGGGGGCGGGGGTTGGTTGAAGGGAGGATTGCTGAAGGGAAAAGAACTGCTGAAGGGGAATTGCTAAAGGGGAATTGCCAAAGAGGAGTTGATAGAATTGGTTGGCAGCTTGTGAAGGAATGGCTGCTGAATGACGCAGCCACTGTTGTTTGTCTGCAAGTCTGAGGGCTGAGACTTTAAGAAAGCTAAAGAGAGGACATGGGACAGTGCAAGCCTGCTCCAAGAACTTTATTCATAGGCTTTAGAAAAGCTAAGCTAAAGAAAAGCTAAGACAAAACATGGGACAGGGCAAGTCTAAGCAAAGAGACATTAAAGAATAGAAAAGAAGCAGGATTTTAAAGACTTTAGAAGCAAGGTTTTAAAGAACTGTAAAGGAATAAGGCCTTAAAGAATAAAAATAGAGAAGAGAAGCAGAGTAAATGAGGAGAATAATAGAGAAAAGAAGCAACGAGGTGGTTTTGTGTCTCCAGCTAAGCGCCCAGCAACCTGGCCCCAACTTTCTGTCTGTCTGTCTATCCTTTGTCCTTTCTGCATCTCCTGTCACCCCCAGTTAGCCCCAGTTAGGTTCAGTAGTAACAGGAGCAAGAGATAGCTCTCTCCAAAGTAGCTGTTCGGAATCCAGACAGACGACACTACATACCATATGTGAAACCTAGAATGGCATATTAATCTCTAGGAGCTCAGATTCCACTATTTGGAAGAAGGACATTACCCTTTTGGAGAAGCTGTAGTGAGATTAATTTAACAATTATTTTCAAGTGTTCTGCTCTGCTCTGTTCAGGCACTATGTTAGACCCTGAGGTACTGGAACTTTGCACAGGCAGGTGCTCAAAACAACAGAAGAACAAGCACCCACTCCTGTCACAACTTATCACATAAATCACAACTGCTTGACTCTTTCAATTTTAAAAGTCAGGAACAAATTACAAAGCAAGATTTGCTGGCCAGTAGAA